ATTGCTGGAGTCTCCTGCAAACATAGTGATCACCATTCATCCCACATCATTTGGTGCTCTCATTGTTCTCCTCACACCTCTATCTAGTTTAAGGCCCATAGTACCCATGAGACCAAATTAAACGAATGAATGGCCACTATCAAGGAGTGGCTGGCCGAAGTTGTTGATCTACTCCGTGAGGTACCTAGGTATGCCCATGAAAGGACTTTGCTACAATTATGATGAATGGTTCCATCCAAGTCACATGTGCAAGGGAACAATATTTGTTGTATAAATTAAACATTTGAACCAGATCGCAATTCTTCGGATTGCAATGCGAACATAACATCTCAAGCTAATGAATCCAATCACATTTTCACCAACTCCGAACAAGATCACACATATATTAGTTTACATACCCTTGATGTCCAATTCACTGAGCATACCTTTCAAATTACTAGCTATCTCATTAACACATCCAACTCTTGCTTGATAGCGGCTCCACTCATAACTTCATTCAACAATGTTTGGTTGAATTTCTCGTACTATCAATAAAGGTAACTACTTCAATTCACATCTTAGTCGTCAATTGGGACAAACTAGACTACAACACCAAGTGTGTGAAACTCACATTACTCTTACTGAACAACAAATTCATACTCAATTTATTTGTTTTGCAAATTTTAGGAGTTAACATCATATTGGGAGTTTGATGGCTTCGTTAACGATGTCTTTTACAAAACAAGGATAACCAATCATTTTGCATAGCAAACAAGCCCCAGAATTCTAACCAATACAGCATAGCCAATTAATTAAATTGTCCACGAGAGTATCCATCGTATATTGCGCCACCCTCGCCTACTACAACTCTGCATTCCCTATCATAACCCACATCACATCCAATTCCACATTCTTTGTTAAATACCTACACTGATCTCTCTGTTAAACCTACTACCCTTCCACCACATTGACCTGAAGACTACCACATCCAATTAAAACCAAGAACAACTCCAATAATTTCCAACCCTATCGGTAACTAACAACAAAAAAAGCAATAAAAAAGTTCAGGAAATGCTACAAAACAATATCACTCAACCAAGTAACAATGCTCTCCCCCGTATTGCTCATAAAAAAAGAATGGCACATGGTGCTAGAATAGACGATCAATTTCTTAATCAATCCACAACTCCTAACAAATTTCCTATTCAAGCGCGGATGAGATGCTAGATGAATTACAAGGCACATCCACATTCTCAAAATTATTCCTCCACACTAGTTACCATCAAGTATGCATGACCTCAGCCGACATCCACAAGAATGTTGTTCATACGCATGAAGATGATGTTGTTAGACCTAACTAATGCCCCTTTAACTTTTAGAACACCAAGAAGTTCATAAAATAATAATAATAATAAAAAGAACACCAAGAAGTTCATCTTTAAACCATTTTTTGTGATAATATATCAGTTTTTTATAATATTCTTTTCTACAATGGTATTATATAGGATCATATTATGCATCAACATATCTACTTTAACTGCCTCCACTCAAATTCCTTTCAGCACTTGCACCCCAAATGCTCTTTTGGCCAGTCACAAATAGACTATCTTGGCACACTCTCAACAGAAGAAGCCCACCCTAACCATATCCAAGCCATATTGTAATGACCTACTCTCATAACTGTCAAGGCCCTTTGCATCTTCCCCAACTTGGTGGGATACAATAAACTATTCATCCACAACTTTGACAATATCATGAGATCACTTGCACAGTTGCACTCAAATTCCTTTCAGCACTTGCACCCCAAATGCTCTTTTGGCCAGTCACAAATAGACTATCTTGGTACACTCTCAACAGAAGAAGCCCACCCTAACCATATCCAAGCCATATTGTAATGACCTACTCTCATAACTGTCAAGGCCCTTTGCATCTTCCCCAACTTGGTGGGATACAATAAACTATTCATCCACAACTTTGACAATATCATGAGATCACCGGTCAACCTCTTATAATGTGATGACTTCTATTGGACCAATCAAGCACATCAAATTTTTGAAAGCTTATAGCATGCCTGAAAAATACTCTCTTACTGACACTACCAAAATTTACACAACCCTTCAATCTAGACAACAACATGTCCGGCATTGGCATTGGCATCGGCACTGATTTAAGCCAACATGGTAAGCTGATTGCATTTTACAACAAAAAGCACAATTCAAAATGCAACAAGGGTTGACATATGTCTGAGAAATGTTTGCCATACTAAAGCAAATACAAAATGGTGTCAATACTTGCTAGGTTCCAAACATATCATTAGGACCGATCAAAAAATATCTGATAGCTCATGTCACAAGCAGTCCAAGCCCAATAACAACAACATTTCTTAATTAATTTACTGGGTTATGAAGATACAAATGAACATGAGCCAGGGAGCACAAATGAAGTGGCTAACGCACTTTCTATAATTTATGAAACTAGCAGCTCTACAACAATAGGTCCAAAAAATTTCACATTGTTTTCTAGCACAATCTCAAATACTCTACAACAGATAAGACAAGAAACTGCCACAAACCCTGAGCTTATCCAATTGCGATCGCAAATTGAAAACAGTTCCAAAACACATCTCCAAAACTAACTAATGGATGGCCTAATACTCAAAAACAAGAGCACGCGAATCACCTCTTCCTCCAATCTCAAACAAGAACTCCTGCAACAATACCACAATAATGTGATTGGAGACCAAAGGTGAATCCGCAAAGCTCTTGTTGGCTCCAGCAATAATTCTTGGCCACACATGAAAACAAATATATGCAACTTCATCCAAAGTTGCCCAATCTGTCAAGCACTTAGTACAAGTCCCTAGCTCCTTCCTGCTTATTACAACCCCTTCCAATACTAGCAACAATATGAGAAGATTTGACAATGAACTATATCATATGCTTACCTCTAGCTTGAGCAAATAAACCAATAATAGTGGTCATTGATCGCTAAACTAGATACGCATATTTCCTAGCTATGCCCGCCAACTTCATTGAGATATGACTTCATGGCATTCCAAAAACAATAGTTTCCAATCATGAGCACTTTCTGGTGAGCTCACTGCAAATAAATGAAAACAAATATTCACTTAGATCAACCCATCATCCCAAATCTGATGGCCAAGCATAAGTCACTAGTCGCAATTTTGAACAATACCTCCACATTATGCTATGAACAATCCAAAATCTTGGATTAAATTCATAGTGTATTAAGTTCTTGTACAGAACTTCTTTTCACTCCACCATGGGAATGTCCCTATTTCAAGCCTTGTACAACCACCTTCCACCATCGATTGAACCATACATTAGCTAAAATATCTTTTGGCACTGACATTCAGCAATGGCTTCAACACGTGATGAAATTCTATGCTGTCTTTGGCATAATCTGGAGCACGCTCAACTGCGTATGAAGCAACAAACTAATAAACATAGCCAAGATCTTCATATTGAAGTAAATTACATCGTCCTCATCAAACTGCAACCATGATGCTAGATATCACTCCTTTTCAAGTACTACTCTAAGCTCAACAGTCTATACTTTAGGCTATTTATAATTCTGGAAAGAATTGAATAAGTAGCATACAAATCAGATTTGCCTCACGCACACATAGACTCGTGTTCTAAGATTTTTAACTAAACCATACAAACTAAATCAACACCTACATTCAATCCCACTACCCCTAAAAAGTTGTTGAATCACCTAGTTCTGCAACCGAAATATATCCAAGATTTCCATCAACTCTCCACCAACAACAATAAAATCCAACAACTCCAAATTAAGTGGCAAGACTTGCCACCTAAAAATGCCACGTGGGTGAATGAAGAGGAAGTGCAGTAGGCCTACCCAAACCTCAACCTTAAGGACAAAGTTGTTCTTTTGAGGGCAACAGGAATTAATACAAAAACCCACCAACATAAACGATACAAGCCACAAAGCACCGTCAAGGCCGCACCATGAGCTCGATCTCCAGCATGGTTGAAAGATCAGCATATTGAGGAAGGCTACTGATAGATTAACACAGGGAAAAATAATATGAAAGTGTAGTTACCTGGTTGTTTGCTTTGTTATTATGAGGACAAATGTCCCATTTTTACCACTTCAGTTAATTAAGGTATGATGCTAGAGACACTTGTCATCATATAATGATAGTAATGATTAGAAGTAAAAGAATGTGGGATGTGTTGAGGTATGGAAAGGGCAATGAAAAAGCTGGAATCGTCTTCCCGAATTTTACTTTCTCAGCCTCCTCCTTGTCTAACGCCATCACTGATGTGCTTGGCGATCATCGTTTATCCCGCATCATAACCTTTCAAATGTAGTAAATGTAACTAAATGCAATAATAATAGCTTTAAGGCAATTTTGTGGTAAGACGACTATTATTTGCTTGACAAAGAGGATGGAAATAGTCAAATTGAATCTCTAATTTGAATGGATACTGATTACATTTTGGGTTATCTTCTTCTTTAATGACAATCAATCTTGTTTACTGTTTTTTTGAGAACTTAAATACTCTGCATGCATCTATTTCTCGTGAAATAGCGATATGTTTATTGACTATTGTTTTTCATATGTAAAAATGTGATCCATTTTGCCACACTCCGTCCATCTCTCTACCAAAATGAAAACCCTAAACACAAACTCGTCCACCGACAAAAAATGCACAGGGCAAGAAAACAGATAGCAATTAGTGAGCATGTAAAAACTACTGCGCAAAACACATTTATAAAATCAAGTTGAAAAAACACATTTAGCAAGCTCGAATGTAACAATCCATTTTCTCGGCTAAGCAGATCTGGCGCTACAAAGAAAATACATCACCTAAAGAACCTCAATCAACATCATCCAAACCCTAGATCTACAGCTACAGTCAATATTCCAACGTCGAGGAATAAGGAAACCAACACTAACCCTAGCTTTGAAATGACCGACGTGTTTGAAGGTCATCTGTGAAATGGTTAAAGATTATATATGTTAATTGGACCTGCTTGGTGGTGAGCGTGCACTGTCGGTTGAAGTCATCGAAAAAGGAGGGCGATTCGGTGGGAACTTCCTCGTCCACCTCCATTCCAACTAGCATCTTAGCCCTCTCCAATGCTCTGCTCATCTTCTCCATGTCGATCCCCCTGTCGTGAGTGGCAGGACTGGGACACCGCGATGGAGCGCTACTGAAGAAGGCCGAAAAGACGATCAAAAAACACTTTTTAACTGCAATAGATGGCACTTTAATAAATTTATACATATCTATGATCGAATTTTTTATATACAACATAAATAATATTAATAGGAGTCTAGAAAAATTATATAATTTGTACGAATATTGGATAATCTTTAAATTATTTTTTTAATTAAATAATAATCATCTAAACTCCAATTTGACATGCTCATGATCAAATTATTAAGCTCGACAAAACGAATACAATGAGACTAATATCGCTCAATTTAAATATCATTATGACACTTAAATGTTGAAAAAATACTTCATAATGAAGGGGTTCTTATGGACCGTATGATTTAGTATTTTGAATTCTGATTCAAATTATCAAAATGTATATCCCAAAAAGCAAGAGCTAGTTTCAAACTGGTTCAATAATGAAATCTTTCTATTAAATCTATTGGAGAAAATATGAGCAATATCTAACAATTGATTTTCCCTTGTAATTTAACAATCTTAGTGGAAATTTATTCTTTAAGCAAGAAACTAATGCCCGCTCATAAAACTAAATAAGAATAAGAAGGTTATAGTGGCATTTCTACAATTATATCAACAACTTTGATGATTTTTTTTTTCTATAAATATTTTGAACTACTTTGTCATAAAGCGGACAAACTACATGCTACTCTTATAAATAAAAACCCAAGTCTCTTTAGTGGATCAATGGTTAACTCTTTTCTTTTAGATAAATAAACATTTCTATCAAACATCTTCTCGAACAATATAAATGATAATATTGGAACTAATCTTCTAATTCAAGTTTTTAGTGGCTTTGGCTACTTGAGAAGTTCCATATTTTGGATCTCCAATAAAATGTTATATCTAAATATGTTTAATGGGGTGTAATGAGATGACTCATTAGTCACTATGTTGTTGATAATTTTGAATTTAGTGGGGAGGCTAGTTTTGGTCACTTGATTGATTACTCATACTTTATTCTCAATTTTTTATTATGACCTCTTATATTTATTTTAATATTATTTAAATTAATTTTGATGGGTATTCATAATTTTATTAGCTATGCATTATACTTCTGCTTGATAAACAATATTAGCATGAGAGCATACCGTCTTTTCGCATTAATGAAGAATAAAACTATCCAATTTGAAGACCTCCAAGATAAACATCTTATAGTAGCTCATGGTCTACTCATAGAATTTGACAAGCCTCCTAGGATAAATTTTTGAAGTACGTATTAAAAATCTCTCCCTTCTTTTAGCAAATCATAGAAAGATGTGACGAGTCTTTGTCATTTAATTTGTAATAAATTATTACATGAAAAAGCTAAGTGAGGTTGGAGAAGGTGTGGATATTATTACTAAAAAGTGGGAAAAAAAATCAAATGTAGTCCTGACTCTTCAGAGTGGCAAGAAAGTTTTTTGCATATGCATAATAGTCTATAACTTTTGATGTGCTTGTAAGGATTTGAAGTCCATCATAAGCATTGATAGCATTAACTTGAACCTCATTGAAATTGCATGCCAAAAGCAAGCATATGTTAAAGGTGGAAACTGTAGAAACTCAAGATTTGTGTTTCTTCAGTTAGGAAAGAGGAAGAAGAGAAGTACAGTCGTGAATAGATAATTGGTTTGAAATACAAAACTTAGAAAACATTCTCATTAACTCATACGCCGGTATACAGGTCTTTAAATAGAATATTTGCTATACCTTAAGCTACATACATGGCAACATAATTTTGTTTAATTCTATTACTCTAATATCCCCCCGCAAACTGATGATTTGTCGACGACTGTCTGTTTGTTCCTAACTGTATGAAAGCGAGGAGTAGACAGTGATTTTGTCAAGATGTCCGCCGTTTTATCAATGGTACTTATAGGTAGTTGGCGGATGGTGTTTTGATGAATATGTGAATCTGTGGTCGATCTCAATATGTTTTGTACGGGCGTGAAAAATCGGGTTGTTAGCTATAGCTATAGCCGATGTATTGTGGCAATAGATGTTGGTAGGAGAATGTTGTTGGATGCCGAAGTCGGTAAGGATCCTCCTAAGCAATATAATATCTGCCACGAGTGCAGCTAGCGCTCGATATTCAGATTCCGTGGAGGATCGTGCAACGGTTGATTGCTTCTTGACTGTCCAAGAAATGAGCGTATTCCCTATGAACGAGCAGTATCCAGAAGTAGATTTCCTTGAAACTGGATCACCCGCCCAATTCGCGTCTGAAAAAGAAGTAAGACTCATATTAGATTTTGTAATAGGGATGACGAACTCGATTGTACCTTGAAGGTAGCGGAGCAGTCTCTTAAGCATGTAGACATGTTGTGGCAATGGGTCGGCATGTGTTGAGACAGAATATTCACACTGAACGCTATATCCGGACGAGTAAGAATCAAATATCGTAGAAACCCCATGATACGTCGATACATGTGAGGATCCGAGAGGAGTTGATTGAGAGCGACGTCTTGAGGGAATTTCGTGCATGTCGGGTTGGCAAGCGGATTGCATTTACTGAGTTTTGCTAATTTGATGATAGACTTTGTATGGCTGGGCTGTGAAAGAAAATATGCATTATTGATATGAGAGATTTGAATACCGAGAAAAGAGTGTACCTCACCGAGATGCTTCATTGTGAATTGACGATTTAGAAGTTGAATTACATTATTCAAAGTTTGAGAGTCGTTACCCGTTAGAAGTATATCGTCAACATACATTAACAAAAATAATTGGATATGATTTTTGCATAAGATAAAGAAAGACGGACCAGATGTACTTTGAGTGAAGCCAATAGATTCAAGATGCAAAGTGAACGTGTTATACCATTGACGAGGTGCTTGTTTTAGACCGTAGATGGCTTTGTGAAGCAGGCAAACGTAATCTGGAAGTGTGTTGTCAACGAACCCGATCGGTTGCTTCATATAAACTGTTTTAGTTAGCCGTCCGTGCAAGAACGCGTTGGCAACGTCGAGTTGGTGTACCTTCCAGTTGTTATTAAGAGCTACAGTGAGAAGAATTCTTATTGTTGGGAGCTTTGCCACAGGACTAAACGTCTCGGTATAATCAAGTCCAAATTCTTGGTTGTTGCCTTAAGCAACCAATCGAGCTTTGTATCTAGCAATTGATCCATCAGCGTGAAGCTTAGTCTGATATGTCCACCTGCATCCTAGAATCATTTTGTCCGTCGGTCTTGGAACCAGACTCCATGTACCTTGGCTTTGTAATGCAAAGAATTCGGATGACATGGCATCCCTCCATTCTTTGTGTTTGTTAGCCTCATGAAACGAGGACGAAGAGTGATCCTGTGATGAGACCACAGTTTGATGCAGCAAATTGAGGCGGATTCTAGGTTTGACCGAGACAGTTTTCCTTCTTGTCTGCATGGGATGTCCTTCTGGTTGTTGAATTTGAGTTGTCCGCTCAGTGGGTAAAGGTATATGAGGTTGAATAGAGATGGATGCAGGATAGTTAGAAGGTGGTAGTTGTTGGGTGTTAGACGTCTTGTTGCTGACAGTTTTATTCGGAAGACATTTAGTGGGCTGTATAGAGGTAGTGGGAGTAAGAAATAGAGGGGAGAGATCTTGCTGAGAATGATTTTTAGGCTGTTCGATCATTCCAAAAGGGAAATAATGCTCGTCAAAACTAACGTTCATGGAGATTATAATTTTATTGTTGGTTAGATCTAAGCTCTTATATCCTTTTGATGTCAAACACGCAAAGAGTGGCTTTGGGTTGAAGTTTATTCCAAAATTGAGCCGGTATATGTGGGAAGCACGCACAGCCAAACACCCGTAGTGCTTTATAGTTCGGTGTCCTGTTATAACATAATTCAATAAGAGAGTAATTGTTAGTATTTGGAGAGGGCATAAAATTTATAAGAAAAGTAGCAGTGATCATTGTATCAGTCCAGCAGGAGAATGGAATGTGAGCTGTGTCCATCATTGCCCGAGTAGTTTCAACTATGTGTCTATGCTTTCTTTCAGCAACGCCGTTTTGTTCGGGTGTATAGGGACAAGACACATGATGAGATATGCCATGTTGTTTAAGAAAGTTCAGGAAAGCCGAGCTCGAATATTCTCCTCCGCCATCGGTACGAATGCATTTAATTCGTTGAGAAGTAGCGGTCTCAATGTGCATTTTGAAATCTGTAAAAATAGGCATGACTTCCAATTTACGTCGCATAGGATAAAACCACATAAATCAGGAGTAGTCCTCCACAAAAATAACGTAATACAAATAACCAGTATTAGATGCAACGGGAGCCGGGCCCCATACATCAGTGTGAATTAAAGCAAGAAGAGAAGTTTGTCTAATAGAAGAATGATCAAAACTAAGCTTATGAGTCTTGGATTTATTACAGGGATGACAAGTATGAAAAATGTTATCTATTTGTAATTGTTTATTACAGGAAGCAATAGATGCCAGTGTGCGTTGATTGGGATGACCCAATCTTTGATGCCACGGGATGAAGTTCTTGATGTGTGTCTGTAATGCCTTAGGTTGAGAAGAAGACGCCGGAGTTCGTAACGGATAGAGACCGTCACAGCATGGTCCCCGAAGAAGTTATTTATGTGTCTGCATATCCTTAAACACAAAACCACTTGGATCAAAAGTAATAGAATGTTGTTGTCTTTAGTTAGTTGAGAAATGGACAATAAATTATATTTGATAGCAGGTGTGTGAAAGATATGAGATAGATTGAGCTTACGAGAGGGAGTCGGTAGCAAACCACGGCCGGAGTTTTCAATGCTAACCGAACTCCCATCACCGATCACAACGCCGTCCATTCCCTAGTAGGGTGTTGAGATGGAGAGATTTGTCAAGTGATCTGGTCATATGCGAAGATGCACCTGAATCTAGGTACCAATCAGTATGAGATTGATTTGTATTCGCAAGCATGGCTCTACTTTGTTGTTTGTCCGATCTTGGTATGTACTGGAGGTTGGATCGGTGCCAACAATCCATCACCGTGTGACCTTTCTTGAGACAGATCTGGCATTGTA